GAATTAATGTTTGACAGACAGACTAAAGAAACAATACCAATACAGGCTTACAGTTCAAATTCGACATTGTGTTGTCTACGATTAGACAGCTGATAACTCATTCCCGTACGTCGTAACTCTATACTGACCTTTGCTTATTGTCACATGTGTGCCGCATTCATGATTGTTGCCGATGCCTGTTTGCAGGTCAGCCCACTACAGTTGTTATACATATCGAAAAACCGATAAACCTTTAGGCGAAAAAAGCACTATTTTAGGCCCATTTTGGATTTTCTTTGCGATATTAGGTAAAAACAGAAGCTTCTTATCCTAGGAAAAATAAAATGTGAAATCATTCGAAGGTGGCACACTACCTTTAAATTGGGGCTTACCTCACTATCCGTCACAATATCTCCGGAATGAAGAACCCCGGGCGGCCACGTGCTTGACATGTAGTAGACCCAACACCATTGGTCATTGTCGCAACCGACTTGGAACTCTGGCTCAAACCCATGCAGTGAGGTTATCATCTGAGCATAATTATGCACCAATTGCTCCCTACCCCAAAGTGCTACACCCACGTGGCGCACGTGCGAAAACACGCGCACCACGTGATGAGGTGTACAACTACCCTAAAGCATCCCCTTGACGACTGACCTCGATTGGTTTCGCTGGCACGCATTGTTTTCGCGGCACAGGCTATCATACCAGCAGTGGTCAAATTTTCACGGAGGTGGTCCCCTTAACCCGCGCCCTGCTGGGGGGGGGTGTTTGAACACCCCCCCCCCCCTTGTGGTTTTTCGCGAATATCTCAAAAACGGCGGCGCGGAGCGCCGCCGTTTTTGGTACACCTTATCATACATCAATTCTACACATATTGTGAAAATTTCAGACCAAGGTCATTCAAGGTCAGGTCACCAGGTCACTTGAAGTGACCTCACCTCATAAAAACTTTCAATGTCTGTCATAGCTACACCGAGTGACCGATCGCTTTGAAACTTTCAGCGATTGCTAAGAGCAATAGCATGTACAAAATGTATATCTCAGAATTTTGATATCGATGACCTAAGGTCAGGTCAATTTTGCGACCTCCCCATTATAAGTCAATGGGAGAAAATTGAAATGCGCCTCTTTTGGATGAAAGACATTATAAACACTCCCAAACACCGAATTACAAGTGGTTTAGACACACTGAACTTAAAAATGGTGTCCGTGACCCTTGTTTATGCCCTGAGGTCATCTTAGGTCACGAATGGTATCTAACAGTTTTTGGCAAATAACTTTTGATAGAGGCATGCTAGAGCGATGAAAACGCCTTAGATGTGTTCAGCTCGACGATACGGATCGACTGATATGCAACATGACCCTTTCCGGTCAGGTCATGACCTTGACCTGAGGTCAAATTTTCAAGTTGACCTTTCAAGGTCAAGTTATAGTTCATTCGATGCGTCTTGACGAGAGGAACACGATGCCGGTAAAAGTAAGCTCGTACAAGGCTTGGGTCAAAAGTTATTGCAGAAAAACTGTTTTCAAAAAAAATCGGCTATTTTTGCAGTTTTTGCCCCCTGTAGGCAAAACCGTTGACGTTAGGTCAAATCTGAGAGAACTACTCAGAAAGGGCGTTAATAGGGCTATCGAATGCGCTTTTCCGCGGCGCTGTAGCTCTATTGGTTCCCGAGTTATGCGTTGGCTTCTTGGAAATTTTCGACATTCGACCTGGAAATCGGCGAAATTTTGCCTTCAATGACCTCTGGTGACCTGACCTTTGACCTGACCAAAAAATTGACCGAAGTGATTTCGTCATTATTTTTTACGCTCTTTCGAACGCCGCCTTCCGCGTATCGCTACGTGGCCCAGGAGCCGAGTTACAAGGGGGGGTGTTCAAACACCCCCCCCAGCAGGGCGTGGAAATCCAGGATCCCCAGCAGGGCGCGGGTTAAACAAGACCGGAGCGTGCACGTGCATTTCAATCGCCCCATATATGGCCTATGCCACGTGCAGTAGGCGACATGTGGGTGCATATCATACTGAAACATTTTCAAAATCTAGCGTGGGAATTTTGAGCAAAATTGATTTTGGGTATTTTTTGTATTTTAATGAAGTATTTTTTCTTCAAGAAATCCCATTGACTTAAAGCCTATTTCTTGTGTTATCTTCAACCAGCTCGGACTCGGAGTGTAATCGCCACGCCGATTGTGGATTGCTCTTGATCGTCAATACATACATACATACATACATACATAAAGGGACTATCCCACCTTTAACATGGGGTTTGAGTTGAGATAGCCAAGTTTGCGGCGAGGTTCAGAAACCACTATCTATCTAGGTTGCAACCCCCGCGGCCTCTTGGTGTTGAAGAAATTCGTTCCCTTCATTTGAAAATGGGCCTTGTACAAGGCCTTATCTTCAACATGGAGCGACCGTTAGTGTGACGTCACCTCGTTTAGTCATTCTGATTTAAATGGGTTTGTTCGTTGAAAAATCGCTTAAAAATTGGTCTGAACTTTGTTGTGGCGCCTACAGAGTAAAAAGAATCAGCTTTATGACAGTAATGTGGCCTGGGGAAGGAGGTAATTTTGGGCTGTGACGTCACATATTTGAAAGTTTGTGTTTGGAATATGGGAAGCCTAAGATGTTTAATGAAAAATAAATGCCAGAACCGTGTTCCTGGTCATCCAATCTATAAAGTCGGGCACAATTTAACTGGTTTTAACAACATTTTAGAAGGTGGGATAGTCCCTTTAAACCAATGACGGCTGCATGTGCAATTTGCACCCCCTTACCGAGGCTGCCCGAAACGGCGCCGCCGGCTAATGGCAGATGCCGGGGCGGCCACCCAGCACATAGAAGACCATCGCATTACAAGCACCCGTCTGCGAGAAATGCGATGCCGAAAATACACCTAATGTTGAAGCCTATGGGCCCAAAACATGTGCACGTGCCACGTGCAAGAAAAATAATTATATTCTTAGCTGAGGGTGTTTCGTGGTAGATAATCTACGGGGGCAGCTGCCCTGAAAATTTCATCAAAATCTATACTCATACTCATACTCATACTCATATATTTCGGTTACATCCAAGAAATTGGGTTTTCAGTAAACCACGTCATACATTCAGTAGTTCAAAACTCATACCTATACATACAGGACATATTCTATAGAGGTTAAAACACACCACACATGATAAACTGACCACATTGACCAGCCGGATTAAACATGCCGTTTCTTAACCTTTTTACGGAACGCCGCCAGACCGGTGCAGTTTCGAACAGGCGCAGGCAACTCATTCCATGAACGAGTTGCGCGACAGATGAATGAGCGCCGGGCAAGCTCAGTTCGCACTAATGGTGTCAATAACGGAAAATCGGAATACCGATACCAAACCAAATACCAACCAAAACCGTGGGGAAATACCGAAACCAAACCAACTTGGGAAAATGAGAGAAATACCAACTTTTTACCGATTTCTTAGCCTCTTATACATTAGTGAGGGTTCACGATACCAACAAAATACCAAACACATTACGATTGAAATGCCAAATACCAAGTTGGTTTCGGTTTGGTATCGGTATACCAAAAAGTTGGTATCCGATTGACATCTCTAGTTCGCACGCGCGGGACATGAAGCTGACCGTCACTGGTTGCCCTAGTGCTGCGGCTCGACACCGCAGTACGGTGGACGATGCGGCTGCGGATCGAATCAGGGGCATGCGAGTCATGCATCAGTTTAAATATAACATGCAGATCATGCTCACGCAGTAGCTCCTGTACAGCAGGCCATCCCAGTTCCTTGCGGGACGCTGTCACACGGTCGCAACGCCTGAGGTTCGTTACGATTCTGACACAGAAGTTTATGCATTTCTGCAGTCTCCTCAGCTGTGTGACTGTGCAACCGCCCCATACAGACATGCAGTACGTTATTAGCGGGAAGACTAGCGCTTCAATCATAGCGCTTCAAGCTTACGGGTCTCGCGCGGCACGCGGTGTCGAATCCTTGACAGACCGATCAGTACACTATAGCACCGGCGCAAAATGTATGATATGTGTTTGTCCCATGTCATGGCGTCGTCCACGGCCAAGGCCGTATAAGAGGTCCACGGCGACGCCCAGCACCCTCACCGACTGTACCGGGAAAATTTGAGTTTCCAAAATGGATATGGAAGCCAGTTTCGGTTTTCAATGTTGCGATTTTACCATGATCATCTCAGTTTTAGAGGGGTTGATTTTTAATCTGTTCTGGGTAAACCATTTTAGAGCAGCAGACATGCTGGTTTCCAAACGTATTTTCATGTCAGAGAGGTTGTTCGGTAAGTCAGAGTGGAGGAACTGGGCGTCGTCCGCATACATAACGATTTTCTCAGCAGGTACATGTTGTGGCAAGTCGTTGGTAAATACCAAAAGTAGGACCGGGCCCAGGATCGAACCCTGGACCACTCCGTGTGACACGCTCAACCTATCGGTTCGTTTGGAAGCCTATCAAGGTGCCCGGATCTCCCACACCAAACACGAATCCTTTCCCGAAAAGGAACCACCCTCAGTTTGTTTTTCAATAGAAAAACACCATTCAAAAGAATAGTGTTTGTCTAATGAAGAAACAACCTTCGGGTATGTACTGAGACTGTATGACCTGTATGTAGGTACTGAACTGTATTAACTGACTCATGTATAAGCGCAGTGCATGCATTGTGCACAATGTTCAATTACTGTCCAACAGTGCCGATCGACCCTGGCTTTGTCAGTGTCGTCTGTGTCAGGAGACGCGTTTACATAGGGTTTGTTGCAAGCTTATATCTCCGTCCGTGATGTTGCAAAAGATGCCAATGGTGCTGAATAGTTTACAAAATGATCCCCTCTAAATATTTGAAGACCACTGCATCGAAATTATCGCCAAATTAACGAGCTAGAGCCTCGTCAAAAATGCTATGTAAACCGGGTAAGGGTTTGACACCACAGTGTGAGCCGCCTCCCGACCGGCAGCAGCTCTGTCCGACTGCAGTCAGCTGACACAGCTCTGTCCGACAGGGCCGGAGGTGACGAAGCCGAGGTGGCCGGGACGGCACGGGAGTGGTCTGTCGGTGTCTCTCCAAGGGGTGACTGCCGACACCATCAGCCACCTGGCCACGGAGCTGGGGTCACGGATTACCCTACTAGTCACGGATGGTGAGCAGCGGTTGAAGTTACTCATATATGAATGGCTAGGAAGGGATAAACCAACAGTGGGTGTTCCGGCGCTCGGCGCTCGCTGGCTGTGACGTCACGGCCACCCCGGCGTTCCGCGGCCCGGCTGACCTCAAGTGACCTTGAGACGCGCTGCCGGCCGCGTCAGCTGATTGTCGGCGGTGCGGGGCGACCCCAAACGCTGCCGGACTGGTCAGGTGCAGGTGGCGCTGCCGGGCGCTCCTGAACGGGGCAGGGGCCAGGGGCGACACAGGGACACGAAGAACGGAGAAACAGGCCGGCGTCAACGCTCCTTGCTTGTTATTTTTGCTCTAAGGAACTGCTTTTTTTCTAGCAAATGTTCATAAATAACATGGAGAACCAGTTTATCCCCGACAATCTGAAGCCTAAATCAAACCAGGCATAACTGGATACAACACATATTACATGTATCGCAGGTAATGCTGCCTCATCCTAAGGTAAGACGGAAGCCATAAGCCATGGCAAGCTGTAGGATGACAAGTCGTGTGCCGTGTGGTGAATGGTGATGGTCAATGATTTGGCCCTCTATTGGACGTAATATTTACGCTACAAATTTTATAACGATACAAAATTGTTATTATTAGCTACACATAAGTGCTGAACAAAATACTTACGTGAAAAGGTTTCAAAAACTGTCATATTGATCAATTGACATCATGAGAATATGCCTAGTTGGGAATATAATGCACTAATTAATGGTGATTTTTGTTTTATATGTGAAAGACCCATTATCATTTTATTTGTTGAATATTCTGTTACGGAAATTCGCCGTAACTTATGAAATTCACATCGTTTTGATAAAGTACATATTTACTCAGACACGGAATTATCACAGCATTGTAGCCACAAACAATTTTCACTCTGTGTTGTCTACACCTGTAGGTAAGTGTACAATGTTTGACCTAGACAAATGCCTGACATTGGTTCAATCACCTTTCCAGCACAAATAACTACTATTCCAAGTCAACTTCGTGGTGCCATCATCAGGGTGGACCCAAACACTGTCATCCTTCCGGCCGGAGTCGGTGACAGCGAGCTGACGGAGCTGCGGAGCTCACGGGAGACTGTGGAGCGGCTGTCAGTCTCCGCCGCCGACCTCCCGCTACTGAGGGAGCAGCTGCCGGAGGGCCTCGAGTGCCTCAATGTCAGAGGTGAGATGCCACGGAACATGCATGTAATGCCGGTATAATGGACAATGCACATGGATATACAAATGAATAGGGAGACAGACGGCAAATGGACGAACCGTTCGAATTCAGCCAACATCTTACAGCCTTGTTTGTGTTATATGGTATTGTTAGAGTGATGCAATGCATGCATTTGCATATAGTGTGAGCATCAAGTGCATGCATGAAATATTATTGTAGCAATTATGGTAATTTGAAATGGTTTCATTGCAACCACTGCGAACCATATATTTATGTTGTCTACCTACCTGATCCGTTACTATACCATGACTGGCTGCCCAGTGCCTAGGCCAATGTGCCTTGAAAAAATCGTAATACTTATGTTGCTCCTATTTGCATATTTACGTATGTATGCTGTTGCTAAAAATATCGTTGTGCAGCCGCTCGGATGTGTTAGTGCTGGCTGTGTCAGTGTCTGACACTCTGGTGTCAGTGGTGCAGCGGGGAGCTGGCGGCAGCTCTGTCCGACTGCAGTCAGCTGACACAGCTCTGTCCGACAGGGCCGGAGGTGACGGAGCCGAGGTGGCCGGGACGGTACCGGGATGGTCTGTCAGTGTCGCTCCAGGGGGTGGCTGCCGACACCATCAGTCACCTGGCTAACCTGGGACGGACGGTCAACCGACTGGAGATTTACGGTGAGCAGCGGCAGCACGGACAGGCCGTTGATATACGAGCTCAGCGAATGGCAGACACCGAGTAACGGTGTGCCGTTGTCGGATCTCATTGAGACAGGTGCGATACATAGCCAATGTGCCTTGTGAAATAATCGAAGCCAACTGAGCTCAAAAATGGAGGAAGACTGTACAATCAGTGACATATTCGTTCATAGTTAGTTGAACTACATATTTCGATTGTAATACAATGTGCAATGCACTTCAATGCATTGGCTGAACTGATTGCATATCCATAGATAACATGAACATTCATGCTATCATGTTCATTTATTCATGTTATCACATTCATTCATGTTTATATGGCATATCATATAGTACCACTGTTATACCATGGCTTACGGTGTCCATAAAACCGCATGCGAATTCATAGCTGTTTCGTTTTTTTTTTCATATATCGCCATGTATTGCAGTCCGCTGATCCTGTCTGTATACGTGTCTGTGTGTTTTCCAGACTCTCCTGATCTCACGGCCGGCAGCCTGGAGCCCCTCACCAGGTGCCCTGTGCTGTACAGTCTCACCCTGTCCGGCGGCGTCCCTGACGCCGTGAGCCTGGAGCCCCTCACCAGGTGCCCTGGGCTGCAGCGGCTGTCGGTCACCGCCGCCGACCTCCCGCGACTGAGGGGGCAGCTGCCGGAGGGCCTCAGACTCCTCAATGTCAGAGGTGAGATAACGCAGGTCACACATGTAATGCTGGTACATGCAAATGGTCAGCGAAGACGGCATATGGACGAACCAATTAGCATCAACTAGCAAGTTTCATCGTTAATCGTGTATATTACTCGCATTGTGGTGAGAGGGGGAAGGGGTTCAATGCATGCCTTCGATAGTGTTCAACCTTGTGGCATATGCGTGGAATATTAGTGTAACGTCACGGGGTGATTTAAAAGTTGAGGTACTAGCGATAGTTGCATTGTCACAAGCAGCAAATTTCCGACCAAACGTATTGAGTATTAATCGACAACTGACACACTGGCGGATCCAGGCTTGCGTTTTTTTTTTGGGGGGGGGGGCAACTCATGCAGGAGCCAAACCTAGGGTACCCCCAAATCCTGTTTTCTCATCGGATTTAGGCCACTTATTTTTCGTCACAGCCCTGACACTATGAATTTTTTTTAACTAAAAAGAAAAATATATAAATGGTAGCCCACCCGACCCATGCCTTTATATTACTTTGTAAACACTTACCATTGTTTTATCGACCAGTTAAAGGGACCCTCCCACCTTAACATTAGATTTGAGCTGAGATAGCCAAAATGGGGTCCCTGGCTCACAATTACCGGTTTCGGCACGCACTCACAACATCGAGAAATGCCTTAAATCGGAAATATTGAATTTCAAAATTGCAGCATTTTGATTCAGAGGGGCTAATGCTTTTGGATACCCCTCTGAATGTGTGACGTCAGCGGAGATCTAATGATTTTTTAATATTTTACTAAAACGTTTGGTAGCATGCGGTGGTATAGGCTGCTTTGCGCGCAACAAATGCCGCACTTTCAAATAAAGTCGCTAGGAACAGCAGCGGATATCCCAAAAAGTAAACAAAAATAAAAGTCTAATCTCTTGAAAACCGGTGAATTTTTTTTCGATAAAATTTGGTAGATATTCGTTTTCGCCCTTTCTGAACCTAGCGACATCACTTTCATGCCAATTCATTAACTTTTTTGAAGGTGGGAGGGTCTCTTTAACCCGCTTCGAGTCAGTGCTTGGGTCCCTTTGCGGGCCGGAGGTGGTAAAACAGCCCTGTCTAACTCGGCTCCTGGGCCACGCCCTGATTGAACTATGTTTCATTATCGTTTGGGGGAGGGGGAAAACGGGCCACTTTAGGCCTCTGGGAAGGGGGCATGGCCCTAAATGCCCCCTCCCTGGATCCGCCAGTGTAAGAAGAGACCATTGGAGCTGCAGTTGGGTACCTCAGACATCAGGGTACGCCCTCAGATGTATGTATAGGACTCGCATGGAGACCTCTTATGCTATAGTGTACTGAAAGGACCCAAAGGAGCCTGTCTATATGGGCTCCCGGAGATAGACGTGGGCCCTCAGGAGCCCGCCAGAGCCCCAATGAGGGATAAGTGAGGGATACCAAGTGCCTGCAATTGCATATTGCATAAGCCATAACGCCTTTACAAATCAATATATTATGCATCAGTGGCAGATCCAAGGGGGGCCACATGGGTCATGACCCCCTTGGTGCCCGGGGGCACCACAGGCCTGTCAGGGGCACCACCGGCCTAGTAGGGGCACCACCAGCCCGCCAGGGGCACCACAGACCTAGCAAGGGCACCACGGGCCTGTGAGGGGCCCCACAGGCTTGTCAGGGGCACCCCAGGTCTGTCAGGGGCACCAGAGACCTGCCAGGGGCGCCGCCGGCCTCGCAGGGGCACCATGGGCCTGTCAGGGACACCAGAGGCCTAGCAGGGGTACCACAGGCCTTACAGGGGCACCACCGGCCTTGCAGGGGCACCTTGGGCCTGTCAGGGGCACCACAGTCCTGTCAGGGCCTAGGGGCACCAGCGGCCTAGCAGGGGCACCACAGGCCTGCCAGGGGCACCACCGGTCTAGCAGGGGCACCATGGGCCTGTCAGGGGCCCCACCGGCCTCGCAGGGGGCACCACCGGCCTCGCAGGCATCACGGCATCACGCAGGGGCACCTTGGGCCTGTCGGGGGCATCACGGGCCTGTTGGGGGCACTTTAGGCTTGTCAGGGGCACCACAGTCCTGTCAGGTCCCAGGGGCATCAGCAGCCTAGCAGGGGCACCCTAGGCCCGCCAGAGGTACAGCCCACCGCTAAAGTAATGTAGGGTTTTACCAAACTCAACGGTTGGCTTTGACTGGCGATTGTTTAATGCGAAGTGATTGAAAAGAAGATGTCAATAGCTAAAATTGCAGCTGCAAGGGTGACGATACATATAAGCTACATTCAAAGTTTCATTGTAGTCTGGCTAATCGTTCCTAAGCTTCAGAAGCAGAACATACCCATGACTGAAACCCCACATTACTTCTGCTGTGGACTGTACCACAGGCCTGCCAGCGTCCAGGGGCACCACAGGCCTAGCAAGGGCACCACGGGCCTGTCAGGGGCACCTCAGGCTCCCGTGCCCCCCCCCCCTTCTCCCCCCAGATCCGCCAGTGATGCCACACCACGCGAAACACCGCCAACTACCAGCTGCCGCGCCATAAACACGTGCCAACAACAGTCTTTTTTTTAAGGTCGACTCCGCTCGCGCAACTTTTGACTGACCCTCACTGCTACTATATTGCTTCCATATTATGCTGTGGAAAGCTTTACTTCACCAAGTGGCTAAAAACCTCCATCAAGGTATATTTTCTTAGCAATTTTTCTGGCGTTTTGGGGGGGGGGGGCAAACAGGCCACTTTAGGCCTTTGGGGGGGGGGGGGGGGCATGGCCCCCGTGGCCCCCCCCCTGGATCCGCCAGTGAACTGACACTGACTGACTATATAGAGAGAGCTCGCTGACGACGAGTCTGAGCAGACTGACGAGACTGACTGGCCGCGGCCCTGGCGCGGCGGTTATACAGAGTATAGGTGGCGCCACGATCGAGGGCGGCCAGCACGGGAATGCAGGCATTGCTGCAAAGTGCAATTAGTAACTAGTAAGCAGTTATTCCAATGAGGAATGATTATAGACATAGTGCAACCAATGAGAGTAGTATAAGTAGTTTCATAGACTATTGTGTTACTTACGCTATTGTATTACTTATTATTACGCATATACTTATCGCATATAATAGGTACAGTCCACAGCAGAAGTAATGTGCTGTTTCAGTCATGGGTATGTTCTGCTTCTGAAGCTTAGGATTGATTAACCTGACTACAATGAAACTTTGAATGTAGCTTATATGTATCGTCACCCTTGCAGCTGCAACTTCAGCTATTGACATCTTCTTTTCGATCACTCCGCATTAAACAATCGCCAGTCAAAGCCAACCGTTGAGATTGGTAAAACCCTACATTACTTTAGCGGTGGGCTGTACTTATTATGTTTTCACATTCCACATACCTAGGTACTTATGACTGCTGAGTGCTGGTGCCAAAAATTGCTGTGCGGCCGCTCGGCTGTGTCAGTGCTGGCTGTGTCAGTGTCTGACACTCTGGTGTCAGTGGTGCAGCGGGGAGCTGGCGGCAGCTCTGTCCGACTGCAGTCAGCTGACACAGCTCTGTCCGACAGGGCCGGAGGTGACCGAGCCGAGGTGGCCGGAGTGGAACCCGTTGGGTCGTCTATCAGTGTCGCTCCAGGGGGTGGCTGCCGACACCATCAGTCACCTGGCTGACCTGGGACGGACGGTCACAGGACTGGAGATATACGGTGAGCAGCGGCAGCACGGACAGGCCGCTGATATACCAGCTCAGTGAATGGCGGACACCGAGTAACGGTGTGCCGTTGTCGCACCTCATGGAGACAGGTGTGATACATAGCCAATGTGCTTTGCGATAAAATGAAGCTAAATGAGCTCCAAACAAAATAGAGGAGGACTGTTCACTCAGTGACATATTCGTTCAGAGTTAGTTGATCATACTCATAACAATTGTGTTGCACTGTTCAATGAAGTTCAATGCATTTGCTTAACATTGCATATCATATAATAGCACTGTTTTACCATTGTCTACTGTGTCCATGAAACCATGTGAATTATTAGGTGTTGTTTCGTTTTGTCATATATCGACATGTATTACAGCCAACTGATCCTGTCTGTATGTGTGTCTGTGTGTTTTCCAGATTGTACTGATCACACGACCGGCAGCCTGGAGCCCCTCACCAGGTGCCGTGGGCTGCAGGAGCTATCAGTCACCGCCGCCGACCTCCCGCGACTGATTGGGCAGCTGCCGGAGGGCCTCTGGCGCCTCAATGTCAGAGGTGAGATACCGCAGATCACACATGTAATGCCGGTATATGCAAATGAACAGGGGAGACGGCAAATGGACGAACTGATCAGCCTCAACTAGCAAGTTTCATCGTTAATCGTGTATATTACTCGTCTCGTATTGTGGTGAGAGGGGGAAGGGGTTCAATGCATCCCCTTCGATAGTGTCCATGCTTGTGGCATATGCGTGGAATATTAGTGTAACGTCACGGGGTGATTTAAAAGTTGAGGTACTAGCGATAGTTGCATTGTTACAAGCAGCAAATTTCCGAACAAACGTATTGAGTATTAGTGCGAATTCGGCATCCGGAAAATCAGGGATAATTTTCCTGGATCAACGGGATCATTCGGTGTTTTAGGCTGACACCGTGCACAACGCACATGCCAATGAGTAAAAGAGCCATTACTGAAGCAAAAGCAATATAAAAATATGACTTGTTGCATCGATAGTCCTTGCAATACCAAATTATTACCGGTGATCCCGGATAATTATCCCTCATTTTCCGGATGTCGAACGCACGCCTGATCGACAACTGACACTGACTGACTACACAGAGAGCTCGCTGACGACGAGTCTGAGCAGACTGACGGGACTGACTGGCCGCGGCCCTGGCGCGGCGGTTATACAGAGTATAGGTGGCGCCACGATCGAAGGCGGCCAGCACAGGAATGCAGGCATTGCTACAATTAGTGAGCACGTATTCCAATGAGGAATGATTATAGACATAGTGCAACCAATGAGAGTAGTATAAGTTGTTTCATAGGCTACTGTATTACGCATATACTTTTCGCATATACGTATTATGTTCATATTCACATTCTACATATGACTGCTGCTGCTAAAAAATTGTTGTGCGGCCGCTCGTCTGTTTCAATGCTGACTGTGTCAGTGTCTGACACTCTGGTGTCAGTGGTGCAGCGGGGAGCTGGCGGCAGCTCTGTCCGACTGCAGTCAGCTGACATAGCTCTGTCCGACAGGGCCGGAGGTGACGGAGCCGAGGTGGCCGGGACGGTACTGGGGTGATGGTGGTCTGTCAGTGTCGCTCCAGGGGGTGGCTGCCGACACCATCAGTCACCTGGCTGACCTGGGACGGACGGTCACACTACTGGAGTTATACGGTGAGCAGCGGCAGCACGGCCAGGCCGCTGATATATACGAGCTCAGCGAATGGCGGACACCGAGTAACGGTGTGCCGGTGTCGCACCTCATTGAGACAGGTGTGATGCATACAGTGGCGGATCCAGGGGGGGGGGCAAAATGGGCATTTGCCCCTTCCCCAAACGGCATAGTTTTAACATTACGCCTATGGACGATGCATGGAAAGAATCGATAAATTGTTAAGGTTTGCCCCCCCCCCCCCCCCCAGTTCTGAGCTGGATCCGCCTCTGGATGCATAGCCAACGTGATTTGTGAAATAATGAAGCTAATTGAGCTCCAACATGGTGTGAATCAGTGAGGGCATGGAATCGGTGACATATTCGTTTAGACTTAGTTGAACGTACACATAATGATTGTAATGCAATGTTCAATGCAGTTCAATGCATTGGTTGAACTGATTGCATATCATATATTACCATTGTTATATCATCGTCTGTGTCCATAAAACCATGCGAATTCATAGCTGTTTCGTTTTTTTCCGTATATTTACATATATTCCTGCCGACTGATATTGTCTGTATGTGTGTCTGTGTGTTTTCCAGACTGTCCTGATCTCACGGCCGGCAGCCTGGAGCCACTCACCAGGTGCTCTAAGCTGGACATGATCACCCTGTCCGGCGGCGTCCCTGACACCGTGAGCCTGGAGCCACTCACCAGGTGCCCTGAGCTGCAGTATCTCACCCTGTCCGGCGGCGTCCCTGACGCCGTGCTGGACAGTCTCAGCGGCTGCCCCGGGCTGAGGTTCCTTAGACTGGGGGACCGCCAGCGGCCGGCAGAGACGGCCTTCACAGCAGCAGCGGTCACCAGGTCAGTCAGCAGACACTGGCGAGGGGTGTCCTGTCAGACACTGACACTGGCACAGTGACACTGACACTATGACACAGTGGCACTGACACAGTGACACACTGACACAGTAACACACTGACACAGTAACACGCTGACACTGACACTGACACACTGACACTGACACACTTACACTGACACTGACACACTGACACATTGAAGCTGACACACTGACATTGACACTGCCACACTTACACTGACACACTGACACTGACACACTGACACACTGACACTGACACTGACACTGACACACTGACACTGACACTGACACTAACACTGGCATACTGACACTGACACTGACACACTGACACTGACACACTGACACTGACACACTGACACTGACACACTGACACTGACACAGTGACACCGACACATTGACACAGTCACCAACACACCGGCACTGAACTACTGACACTGACACTGACTCGTACGTCCGGCCGGCTGGTGCCGCTGTGTTTGTGTGTGACGGCTCTGCTGCTCTGCTCTGTTACAGACTGGTGAAGTCGTGTCGGAAGCTGTGGTGGCTGTACCTTCACTGCACGGCAGACACCGGCCGGGCCGTGCTGACCGCCCTGAAGGAGGCGGACCTGGGCCGGCGCAGTGATGGCCGGCCCCGTACCATCGATCTCCGTATCCCCGGTAGGTGAGAGGGCGCCGCGCGCCGCGCCTCTGACCAGTCAGTCCCTCACAACAGACGCTGCACGGCGCCACCGGCCTCTCAGACACACACACTCGACCACCGCCGGAGGCCACGTCACGGACGGTGACGTGACGCGTCACGGCCACCACGGCCGACGGTGACGTCACGTCAGCCGTCTGTCCTGTGTGTGACGTCACTGGCCGGCGGTGTGTGGACATGGCTGTACCGCTGTCTGTGTGTCTGTCTGTGTGTGACGTGTCCACCTCAGACGTGTCTCTGCTCTGTCCACAGGGGAGCTGTACCGTCAGCTGGAGAGCCAGCAAGGCGCTGGGGTCATAGTGGGGAAGTGGGGGAAATGATGCGCTGCACTACCGACCGTGCAGTGATGAGCTGACTGCAGAGAGGCCGAGCCAGTCGGCCGGGGCCGCCAGCTGACTGCTGCCGTGTGTGCTGCACCAGCCGGCACTGAGAGCGGCGCCGGTCAGCCGGCACACGGCCCCCGTGTCCGCTCTAGTGTAGCCATGTAGTTGTAGTGGTAGTAGTGTAGATGTAGTAGAAGCAGACGGATGTGATGTAGTGGGTAATTACCGGGCGGGTATTGTGGGTAATTGGACGGGAGATGTGATGCAGTGGGTAATTACCGGGCGGGTATTGTGGGTAATTGGACGGGATGTGATCATGTGACCTAGTGGGTAATTGCCGGGTGGGTGTTATGGGTAATTGGACGGGAGATGTGATGTAGTGGGTAATTACCGGGCGGGTATTGTGGGTAATTGGATAGTGAAAAGTGATGTGCTGGAGAGACTACCAATCGTGGCATTACGCTATTCTGTATGTAGAACACACTTCTCTGACGGTCCGACTCGGTTCACCGCGCCTGGTCCCGGCGGCACGGCCGGCCTCGGTCACGTGACCGTCCCCCGGTGGAGTCGGACGGCTCGGTCACGTGACCGTCCCCCCGGGTCTGGCTGCACCTCGGCTCGGCGGTGCTGAGCGCCGTGCTGAGCGTGTTGTGACACGTCCCACACGGACAGCTCTACTCGACTACTGGCTAGCTGCCGTCCGAGCTGGCAGTATACACGCGGTGCCAGTTCAGACGGCGGCCGGCCGCGCCGCGCCCGCCCGCTCCGGTCCCGGCCGGCGGCCGTCACCCGGCCCGGGGCGGGGACCGGTCCGTCAGCTGACCATTGGTCAGTCAGCTGATTGGTCCGTCAGCTGACCATTGGTCAGTCAGCTGACCATTGGTCAGTCAGCTGACCATTGGTCAGTCAGCTGATTGGTCCGTCAGCTGATTGGTCCGTCAGCTGATTGGTCCGTCAGCTGAGTGGTCCGTCAGCTAATTGGTCAGTCAGCTGATTGGTCCGTCAGCTGATTGGTCCGTCAGCTGATTGGCCCTTCAGCTGCCCCGCTCTCCACCGGCGGAGCCCGGCGCACGCCGAGACTCGAGACGTCAAACACAATGTCTATTATATACACGAGAGGAGACGCTTCAGCTGTACCATCTGTAGCCTAGGGCAATTAGTTACCGGGCTAGTATTATGGATAATTTGATGAAGTGATGCGATGTAGTGGGTAATTACCGGTCGGGTATTGTGGACAATGTAACCCTGGGTATGATATAGCCGGCTATTCGACGGTCGGATATAGTCAGCTGGATGCTACTGAATTGTGTAGAGCTCTGACGGCACCGGTCATAACGAGTGTCCTCGCGTCTGTCCGACTCGGTTCACGGAAGCACGCCGTCACGGCCCGGGAGCGCGCCGCCATGTTTTGTGTCCTCTGCTTCGTACAGGGGGGTAATTGGGCTACCGACCGATTGGGAGTCGGAGTCGGAGTCCGTGTCGATCAAGCTGCCTTGACTCCGACTCCGGAACGGCTTTTTAGAGTTTAGTTATCACTTGGCCATGCTACTGATAATCAGCTGCGCTTTGACTAATACATTTTACACATGTCCAGTCTTTGTCCTGGAAAACAGCTACCTTCGGAGCTTACCTCATCATTTGTGCTAATGTCCTGGTGACCTGAGTACAGTTTGGCTCCACCAGAGGAGGGGGGGGGGGGTGTTTCTGCGCCGCTGTGCCGCCGCTGCTGTGACCTGCCGAGCTGCGGTCCCGGCTCCAGAGCACACCGTCGGCCGTCGAGGCCCGGTCCTTCTGTTCCGTGCACATCATCAACAGGTGTCGTATATATCTATAATACAGGCCCAGCGTGGCAGTTCACCGTTAACCGGCGGCCACACACTGACTGGCTGGATCGCCACTCGCCGTATTTCACCGCCTTCCCCGGTGCCGGGCGGACGATAACCTGTATACGACACACCGTTTTACCCGCCGTCATTTGGGATCAGGTCTGAGAGCCGCCTCTGGTAAATCAGCTGCCGTCTCGAGACATTTGGCTGGATCTAGGATCCCATTGGATCCAAGACCACGATAACTATATATCAGATATCAGAACACACATATACCTTTTCTGAGATCCCTGCCCAATACACATATGTTTCTGCCACTCTGGTGTCATGTAAGTAGTTCCCTGTCGCAGTTTTGTGTGTGTTGTATGGCCAGCACCCGTCCCCCTCACAGCTGCAGTGTTCGGTGCTGGTCTGTGACCCACAGCTGACACCGGGCCTCCCACCGCCGGCGGATGAGCCGGCCGGCCCGTGCCCGGCCCGCCATTCCAGCCGCCACGGCCGGCCAGCGGCACTTGTCCAACACCGGCTGGACACACTACCGACTCGGAGACACACACGGCTCGGGAGACACCCGTGGCGTGTTCTGGGGCCATACACGGACACTGCAGTGGCCACTGGGCAGAGGTGCGGACCGGACGTACCGCCCGCCCCTCCGACTGGTCAGAGGTGCGGACCGGACGTACCGCCCGCCCCTCCGACTGGTCAGAGGTGCGGACCGGACGTACCGCCCGCCCCTCCGACTGGGCAGAGGTGCGGACCGGACGTACCGCACGCCCCTCCGACTGGGCAGAGGTGCGGACCGGACGTACCGCCCGCCCCTCCGACTGGGCAGAGGTGCGGACCGGACGTACCGCCCGCCCCTCCGACTGGGCAGAGGTGCGGACCGGACGTACCGCCCGCCCCTCCGACTGGGCAGAGGTGCGGACCGGACGTACCGCCCGCCCCTCCGACTGGTCAGAGGTGCGGACCGGACGTACCGCCCGCCCCTCCGACTGGTCAGAGGTGCGGACCGGACGTACCGCCCGCCCCTCCGACTGGTCAGAGGTGCGGACCGGACGTACCGCCCGCCCCTCCGACTGGTCAGAGGTGCGGACCGGACGTACCGCCCGCCCCTCCGACTGGTCAGAGATGCGGACCGGACGTACCGCCCGCCCCTCCGACTGGTCAGAGGTGCGGACCGGACGTACGGCCCGCCCCTCCGACTGGTCAGAGGTGCGGACCGGCTCGGCCGCCCGGCCCGCCCCTCGGCGCGGCTGCCCGGCTCGCTGCTCGCTGCACGGTCCGGTCGGTCTGAGACTCTGTCGGAGCTCTACTGGTGACCGTCCGGCGCGCCGCCGCGGCAGCCGCCGCCGCCGCCGGCCAGGTCACGGCCCAGGTGGGGCGCGGCGGGGCGGTGTGTCACCAGCCGCGTGTCCACGGGCCGCCACTGGGTAGCTCGGGGGGCGGCGCGCCGCGGCACCTCAGCGCCGGCCCCGTGGGTCACTGAGCGGCGCCGACGGCCGCCACAAGAGAGCTGCCGGCTGGCTGTCGGCCGGCGGTAGCAGAGGGCAGCGGGAACAACCGTCGGCCCGGCGGGTCACCGACGGTCCCATCACCCACCGGGGACTGGTGGTGGGAGTCGCCCACCGGTCCCATCACCCACCGGGGACTCGTGGTGGGAGTCGCCCACCGGTCCCATCACCCACCGGGGACTCGTGGTGGGAGTCGCACACCGGTCCCATCACCCACCGGGGACTGGTAGTGGGAGTCGCCCATCAGCCTCTGAGGGCGGTACCGGTGGGACTGTCTCTGCCGACTGTCCCACACCATGAGTGGGACCGGTGGGACTGTCTCTGCCGACTGTCCCTACCCCATGAGTGGGATCGGTGGGACTGTCTCTGCCGACTGTCCCTACCCCATGAGTGGGACCGGTGGGACTGTCTCTGCCGACTGTCCCTACCCCATGAGTGGGACCGGTGGGACTGTCTCTGCCGACTGTCCCTACCCTATATGTGAGTGTCCGTTTCTGCGGCGGCCGCTGAGCCCCCAACCCTGTCCTTCTCCTCTCCCCAGTCCGCTGTGCAGGGTCGCTCGAGGTCACGTGGTCAACTGGACTGTCTTATCCAATGCACCTTGTATTCGTCGATCGACCTTACACACCACCGTGCAGTCACATGACTACGACCCGACTCCCCTCCGTGCCGTCCGACGCGCCGGCATGGCCCCACAACTGGGACAAACGGCCGCCGGGGACGCTCCTATGTCCGATGTTCGTCTCCGTCCACACCGGAGAGGACAGGGCAGGCGGCGGCCGGCCGACGCTGCCCCGGCCGCGGCGCCGAGGTGACATCCTCAGACCTCGCTGCTCCCAGTACGCTACACTGGTCAGGCCGGGCCGGCGGCGGCGTGCCATCGGCCGCCGGCCAGCCGGCCTCCCCGTACTGACCACTCACTCACATACAACACACATCCCCTGTTTATCGAGAAACATACACAACATACGCTCTGAACTATGTAATCAGCAGTCACGAACGAATAACGATGGTCTTCCATAACGCAATGGTCTCAAATGTCCCGCCCGCCCCCTGATCATCCACCGGTGCCGTCCCAGTGGTCGGTCGGGGCTCGACCGGTGGTCGGTCGGCAGACAGACCGACCGGTCACCGCCAGGTCACGGCCGGCCCACTGACAAGCACGCCGTGCCGCCGCCGGGGCCGTGGCCGTGCGCCGGCCGTGCCCTGACCGTGCTCACCGGCTCTGACACACCGGCCTCAGAGATCTGACACCAACTACCGGCTGGACGAGCCGCCGAGCGGCCTGCCGACCGACCGCTCCCGTATGGCAGC